TCTTCAAAAGAACCTAATTAGGTAGGAGTTGTTACCCTGAATTCACAGATGAGGAACCACCTCGTGGAGGTTAAGTAATGCAGCCAATTTAATATAGATGGTAAGCTGAAGAGCTGAGATTTGAACTGGGCCTTTCTGACCCAAAAGCCCTTGTCTTACATCATGTTATCACAATATTTCTTCAAAACTACTGCTTGGCCTTAGAGAGAGCCAGCAGCTTTAGTCTATCTAAATTGTATTTATGATTATGGGTTTTCTGGATTCAGTGGGGACTCTGAGAATTCTTGATTAGCTAAGGGGTGGTTGCTGCAGGTCTTTGTGGGCCCTGACTTGTAACCTTGGAGTTTTTAAAGCTTCAGAACCCTGTAATGTGGCATCAGTGTGAGGACTAGCCTTCTTTTGTGTCTTTTATTTTCTTTCCTGGAATATGTTCCTGCCCTTCCTTTCATCCTGTTTCAGTAAGAAGATGTCTAGATTAAAATATATAGTCCCTGCATAGTACATGACAAAGCAGATGGTGTATATCAGGACATTCGTAACAGTTATATATGTGTCTTTCATTAGAAACCAAGATCATAAGGCAGATAGCGTGAAACTGCTATTTCAGCATTTAGTGGGATTTAGTTGACATCATTAATATGCAAAACAGTGTGAATATTTAATATTTTTCTTGAGTCTAATATGATCTTAGTTATATAATACTGTATGTATATGTCTATGTATAGAGAAATGTCTGAAACGATGTTCATCAAAATGTTTACACTGTGTGGCAGTAAGGGGCTGATTTTCAAAGTACTTTATGTACTTTGGGAAACTTTTTATAAGAAGTATGAATCATTTTTAAAAACAGCAGAACCATGCTAAAGGGGGAGAAGTCTTGAAGTGAATAATTGGGAGAGGCCTAGGCTTGGCAGAGACCTAGAGCCTCAGGATTTTGAGGCAGTGAGGGACAGAGTATGTCCCTGTATTGTAGCAAAGAGGGTGTGTTATTTGACAGATGCAAGGAGAGAAAGGGGACTTGCACCTCAGGCTTGCCTGGTAGGATTCATGTCTCACTGATAGAGTTATATATCCCTGTACAGGTGAGAGGCTGTATACCCACAGAATAGAATCTCATTTGCTGCACAGCAGATGTCTAGGGGAACATGTCAATCTAGTCATCACAGCTCATAGTTATAGTCATAGTCATTTAAAATAGCCTTTACTAATCTTGTGGCAATACTTAGTTTCAAGGTGTGGGCCCAGTACCAACTCAGGGAGGTGGGTTGTTGATGCAGATGTGGATGAGATAGAGAAAGCTGCAAGCCCTGTTCCACCTATCAACTTCAGTAATGGCACATAACTCTCAGGTGATCCTTCTAATTGTTTGGCATTAGCTGAATAAATTCTTCAAAATAGAATTTTTTTCTTTTTACCAATATAGGAATTCATGAAGATTACCAGCTGCCTTATTATGATCTTGTACCTTCTGATCCATCAGTCGAAGAAATGAGAAAAGTTGTTTGTGAACAGAAGTTAAGGCCAAATATTCCAAACAGATGGCAGAGTTGTGAAGTGAGTGTTTCTTTTTGATATTAGGCAATTTTCTAAACTGCTTCTGGCTTAGTAAGTTGAAATTTGCTACTTTGAGAAAAACAGACAAGAATTCTCTTTTCTTTCTTTTTCGTAGCAGGTAAACCAATGAGTAAAAACAGAGTAATTTGGTTTTCATGCTCAATTTTAAGCACATTGAAAGGCCCATAGAGCATTTGCAATGGCCATTAATGTATCAGAACATTGTTTAGATCTGCCAGATGAACTGAACAAAATGAACTAGGACACATGCTTTTAAAAAAAAAAGAGAGAGATGGGATCTCGCTCTGTCACCTAGGCTCACTGGAGCCTCAAAACTCCTGGGCGCAAGTGATCCTCCTGCCTCAGCCTCCCGAGTAGCTAGGACTATAGGCACAGGCTGCTTTTTAAATGAATGCTTCCCTTCAGCCGGGGCAGCCCAGCATAGTGGGATGAGTACTGGACAAGAATCAGCAGACCTGTATTCCAGACCAGGCTGACTACCATTTTAGAGTCTGAGTTTTAACATATCACTTCAGTTCTCAGGACCTTAATATCCCTTCATAAAATGAAGAACTTGGATGAGATGATTACAAAGGTGCTTCAAATGATTTTGCGTTTATTTATATGATTACCTGGAGGACCATTAACCAGAAATTTGGGGAAAATGCTTTCCAGCAATTTATGAGCTTCTCAACCTCAGCTCTAACCAAAAGTTTTAGAAATGTTTTTTTAGTTATAAATTTAAAGAATTTGTAAGATGAATTTTATTTATCTCTCCTTAATTTCTAGCTGTTACTATTATAATATTGGTGAAGAAGGCTATATTTCTCCAAATTGGAAGTTTTGTAGCTTAAAAAGACTATAAAAAGCTGGTCACTTCAGTGGTTGATTTT